TCTGGTTGGGGATGTCCCTGCTCCCCACACAGGGCTTGGACTAGACAACCTTCAGAGCCTTTTGTGATGCCATGAAAGCTTTCTGGGAAGGAGCTTGTTCATGGGGATAACCCTTCCTGTTGTGTTTGCTCCTTTGTGGAGAGGTGCCCAGGGAAGGACGAGCTGGACAGAGCTGGCAGCACCAAGGGCAGAGTGTGGGGGGGATGGTCCATAGGACACAGACTCAAGGACCTCAAAGGTCTTTCCCAGCCTGAACAATTCTGTGATTCTAAGTGGCCAGGAGGAGGAAATGGTGACACTGCTTGGGGGGTGAAGTGACCAGCCTCGTGTGAAAAGGCTGTAAAAATGTGAAAATATAAGAAGAATTCTTTGGGTTTTGACCCTTGTCCCTCCCAGGTACCCGTTTGAGCCCCCCAAGATTCGCTTTCTGACCCCCATCTACCACCCAAACATTGACTCAGCTGGAAGGATTTGTTTGGATGTTCTGAAGTTGCCCCCAAAGGTAAGATCACACTGCTTGGGCCTGGAGCCCAGGGAGCATAATGAGCTCCTCCTCATCTTCCTCTTGCAAAGGCCTCGTTGAAGGTCTGTTTGCCACGGGCAGCTGACAGAGGAGTGTGAGAGTGAAGTCCTTGAGCTGCATCTCCTTTGGTTAGTGACTGGAACGTGCCCCTCTTTGTTCCATGGTAGTGTCCTGGGTTTTAAGGGTGGGAATCAACAGGCACTGGGTGTCCTGTGGAAACAGGCAGCCCCAGCTGGGGGAATGTGCAGGATGTGGCCCATGGTGGTCGGTCAGGTGCCCTCAGAGCAGCCACGGGCTGTGTGGAGCATGGGTGTGATGTTCTTCTGGGGCACGAGGTGCTGTGAGTGCCAAGGCAGCTGCTGGGCAGGTGGGGTTTAAAAGCTGCAAGTCCTGAGGCTTCTCCAGGCAGGTTTCTTTCTGCTTAACTGCTTTTCTCATCCCATTTCCTCCCAGGGTGCATGGAGACCTTCCCTGAACATCTCCACACTGCTGACCTCCATCCAGCTGCTGATGGCTGAGCCCAACCCTGATGACCCTCTCATGGCAGATATAGTGCGTGTGCTGCTCCTCCTCCTCCTGGCTGTGGGCACAGGCTGGGAAGGAACTGAGGGAGCTGGGGGTGCTGAGCCTGGAGCAAAGGAGGCTCAGGGGAGACCTTCTGGCTCTGCACAGCTCCGGACAGGAGCCTGGAGCCAGGGGGGGGTCGGGCTCTGCTCCCAAGGAACAAGGGACAGGACAAGAGGAAACAGCCTCAAGTTGCCCCAGGGGAGGTTTCAGTTGTCCCTGAGGAACAATTTCTTGCCCTGGAGGGTTGCCCAGGGCTGTGCCAGGCTGCCCAGGGCAGTGGTGGAGTCCCCACCCCTGGAGGGGTTCCCAAGCCATGGAGATGTGGGGTGAGGGACACGGGGCAGTGGGGACCTGGCAGTGCTGGGGGAGGGTTGGACTCGGTGCTCTGAAAGTTCTCTTCCAACCCCAACGATTCCATGATTTGGGCTGTGCTCCCTCTCTGCTCCCCCTGGGTTCACAGGCTGGCACACTCCAGTGGTGCAGCTTGATCTGGGTCAGCCCTGGGGCCCTTCCCTGGGACAAAGAGGTGGTCAGGGATCTCCTCGAGCCCGCTGGAGCCAGCAGATCCATGTTGTGCTTCATGCCATGAGCTCGTAGCAGTGCTGGGCTGGTCCCAGGAGTCCCAGAGCCAGGCCCTGGTCCCTGCTGCTCCCTGGCTGTTGGTGTGACCAGATCTCTCCTTGTCTCGCCCAGTCCTCACAGTACAAGTACAACAAGCCCCTGTTCTTGCTGACTGCCAGGGAGTGGA